CTAACTGTTCTCCTCCTCTGCTCTTCGGGTATGACATGTGCACCAAAAAGCAGTAGCAGACGCTGTCTCCCAAGCATGAAACTGAGACTGGAGCTTCAGATTTTCTGTATCAAGAAATCTGTTGTAACATTCTGTCATCCTTTCTTTTCATTATTTTTTTTAAAGATTTATTTATTTATTTGAAAGTCAGAGTTACACAGAGCGAGAAGGAGGAGAGGGAGAGGGAGAAGGAGAGGGGGAGAGAGAGAGAGAGAGAGAGGTCTTCCATCGGTGGTTCACTCCCCAATTGGCTGCGATGGCCGGAGCTGCACCGATCTGAAGCCAGGAGCCAGGAGCTTCTTCCAGGTCTCCCATGTGGGTGCAGGGGCCCAATGACGTGAGCCATATTCTACTGCTTTCCCAGGCTATAGCAGAAGTGGAGCAGCTGGGACTTGAACCGGCGTCCATATGGGATGCCGGCACCACAGTGGCTGCTTTACCTGCTACGCCACAGTACTGGCCCCTCCTTTCATTCTTGCACTGTGTGCCTCCTACTCTTCAGGCATTGCACCCAGTGCTGGGGCTAGAACTAGGTTTGAAGGACACAGCTGGTGCTGGTGCTACGGCATAGAATGCTAAGCCTAAGCCTGCAGTGCCGGCATCCTATATGGGCGCCGGTTCGAGTCCCAGTTGCTCCATTTCTGATCCAGCTCTCTGCTAATGTGCCTGGGAAAGCAAGTGCTTGGGCCCCTGCAGGTGCAGGGTGGGAGACCAAGAAGAAGCTCCTGGCTCTTGGCTTCAGCCTGGCCCAGCCCCGGCAGTAGCAGTCATTTGGGTAGTGAACCAGTGGATAGAAGACCTCTCTCTCTGGCTCTCCCTTTCTGTAACTCTTTCAAATATTTTTTTTTTTTTTAAGAAAAAGGACACGGTCCCTACACCAAAGAAATCAGCAGTCCCCACCCTGGCATCTGGCATAGGAAAGCATTTTATTATTATTATTTTACTCATTCATATTGTTTATTAAGAGCAAAAGTCAAGCCATCTCATGTGTGTGACACTGGCACATGAAAAGTCACATACAAAATAAAGAGACCTCATAGAACCAGGAGCCTTTCAACAGTACAGAGCTGTAGAGTCTGCACTTGAAACAAATGATCCCTTGGGGCAGGCGCTGTGGTGCAATAGGGTAATCCTCTTCCTGCAATGCTGGCATCCCATACGGGCACCGGTTCAAGTCCCAGGTGCTCCTTTTCCAATCCAGCTTGGAAAAGCAGTAAAGGATGGTCCAATCGCTTGGGCCCCTGTACCTGTGTGGGAGACCCAGAAGAAGCTCCTGGCTCCTGGCTTTGGATCGGCCCAGCTCTGGCCATTGCAGTCATCTGGGGAGGAACCAGTGAATGGGAGACCTCTCTCTCTCTCTCTCTCTCTCTCTCTCTCTCTCCTTCTCACTGTCTATAATTTTACCTCTCAAATAAATAAATAAAATCTTAAAAAAAATGATCCCTCCAATCTGGTAGGAGATGAGTACAATACAAGGAGGCCTGGAATGGAAGGGCATGAACTTTTCAATAAAGCAGTTACAAAATGGAAAGAGGAAAGACCCATAGCCACAAACGCTCTGCGGAGCACAGGACGGTGGCGACGTGACACAGGGACCCTGCGCCACCTGGGACCGCTGGCAGTGTACTCATCAGAAGAAAGACCCCAAGGGTTTGCGTGTCAGGATGCAAGCTTGATGAAGAACTGAGTGTAGACATTTCTGCTTCAAGCGAATCTCTCTGAGACTCACCAAAGCAGAGCTAACCACTTCCTCTCCCGACTGCGCTGCTGTCTAGTAAAGCATCTGGGCTCTGATCCCCCTTCCTGGGCGGGGTTCCCTGGTGGGCTAGGTGCCCTCCCAGCGTGCCTTGCTTCCCACAGCAGCCAGCCCAGAGTCTGACTGTGTGAGCGGCTCAGGTCCATGGCAGGAATGGTCAAGGGCACAGGCAGTGGGGGAGGCAGGAAGAGGAAGTGAATTCATAGCAGCTTCTGCACACCAACAGAGACAATCAGCAGAGAGGAGACAGCTGACAGCGGGGTGTGTGTGTGTAATATTTACAAGCTACTTAGCCAAGAAAGGATTAATATCCAAAAGAACAAAGATACCACCAGCGGCCAGTATTGTGGCACAGGGGTTTAAGCCACCTTTTGTGATGCCTGCATCCCACATCAGAGCACCTGTTCCAGTCCCGGTTACTCCTCTTCCTATGCTCCCTGCTAATGCGCCTGGGGAAGTAATGGGCGATGGCCCGAGAACTTGGGTCTCTGTTACCCACGTGGGAGATGCAGATGGAATTTCTGCCTCTTGGCTGTAGCTTGGCCCAGCCTTGGCTGCTATGAGCATTTGGGGGAGTGAATCAGCAGATGGAAGACCTGTGTCTCTCCCTCTCTCTCTTTCTTTCTCTCCTCTTTGTTTGTATTTGAAACTCTAACACTCTGCCTTTTGAATAATAAATAAATCTTTAAAAAAATGCCAACCAATCCATTTAAGAAATGAGCGAAGGTCTTGAACAGATATTTCTCAAAAGAAGAAATACAAACAGCCAACAAATACATGGGAAAAAATGCTCAATCTCACTATACATCAGGGAAATGCAAGTCAAACTCACAAGGTGGTATTACCTCACACCAGTTAGATTGGCTATCACCCACCAGACATCCTTGTGGAGATGAATGGATTATATAATGCAATATTATTCAGCAATAAAAGAGTGAAATCCTGTCACCTGAAGCCAAATGGACAGAACTGGGGGACATCATGTTAATCGAAATAAGCCAGACACAGAAAGACAAACACCAGAAGTTCACCCTCAACTGTGGCATCTAAAAAACAAACAAACAAACAAACCAAACCAACCAAAACCAAAACTAAATCCGAACACAGAATGGTGACAACTAGAGGCTGGGAGGAGTAGGAGGGGGCAGAGGGAGTTTGGGTACCAGGTACCCAATCAGTGTTGCATTGAAGGAATGAGTTCCTGGTGTAACACAGCACAGTGTGGGTGAATGTAGTTCACAACAACCTGTTGTGTGTTTTAGGAGCAAATGGAAGAAAGGAGCTTCACAGCTCTAATACCAGGTAATGCCAAAGACGTTCAACGTGGATTTGATCCGCACAGGTCATAGATACACATATTTAAATATCACACTGTAGAGCCATAAGTATGACAGCATTGCTAATCTTAAAAATCACCAGCTGGAGCCAGTGCTGTGGCTCAGTAGGTTAATCCTACACCTGTGGTGCCGGCATCCCATATGGGTGCTGGTTTGAGTCCTGGCTGCTCCACTTCTGATCCAGCTCTCTGCTATGGCCTGGGAAAGCAGTAGAAGATGGCCCAGACGCATGGGCCCCTGCACCCATGTGGGAGAGCCAGAGGAGGCTCCTGGCTCCTGGCTGCTGGCTTCAGATAGGCTCAGCTCCAGCTGTTGCAGCCATTTGGAGAGTGAACCAGCAGATGGAAGACTTTTCTCTCTGTCTCTCCTGCTCACTGTCTATAGCTCGATCTCTCAAATAAATAAATAAAATCTTAAAAAAAAATCACTAGCAGCGTGGTAAAGATGCTAGCACCTTGAATCTAGTCCTCAGCTTGTACTAGCTGGGTGACCCCAGGCAAATGACTCGGCTCCTTTGTGACTCAATTCTGCAACTGAAAATGGGGCTGAGAGCAGTCTCCCTGCGTGGTGCTAACAGAAGTAAAGTGCATGGTCGGACACCCATGATAGTCAGTCTGCTCACAGCTGTTTTCCCCCATGTCTGCTTCTCCCTTCTGCATCCAAGGCTCCAAGCAAGCATGGGCACAAGTCCTCTAGCTCCCTTGTGTCATTCCTCACACCCAGGGATCGGGGAGTGCAGGGAGAACCAGCCGCCTCCCGAGGGGAGCCTCTGCCTGAGCTCTCACGCAGATGTGTGCTTCTACAGCGTGAAAAGAGAACAGACACGGATTCAAGAGGAAACGTGGGAGTGCAGTCTTCAGACAGCAAGAGGAAGGACAGACTTTAGGGTCACTCCATTCAGGCCCTGGGGTGAGCATGGGGGTGGAAGTGCACCGTGAAATCCTGGGACTTCTGCCTCCTGCCCCCGCCTCAGATTTCTGTTCTCTGCATGGAGAACCAATGACCCTGGAGATGGACCCCAGACTGTTCAGTTCCACTCGACTCAGGCAAATCAGACTTGAATTAAAGCGCAACTTCAGATCTGGTTTCCCTACCCTCCACTCTGCCGCGGGATGTGCTAGAGCAGGTGCAGCCCCCTCCTGCCTCCCCCAGGATCCTTGAACTCAGAATGGAAGCAGACACTTAGTGAGGGAGGTGGCGTGGTGGAGCAGTGGGTGAAGCCTCTGCTTCTGCCGCCAGCATCCCATGTCAGAGTGCTGGCTCCAGTCCTGGCTTCTCTGCTTCCCATCCAGCTCCCTGCTAATGCACCTGGGAAGGCAGCTGATCATGGCTCAGGTGCTTGGGCTCCTGCCGTCCATATGGGAGACCAAGGTAGAGTTCTTGGCTCCTGGCTTTAGCCTAGCCCAGCTCTGGCTATTGTGGGTTATTTGTGGAGTGGGAACCAGTGAGTGAAAGATTTCTTTCTCTCTCTGCCATTTTGCCTTTCGAATGCAGACATTTTTAAAACCAAAAAAAAAAAAAAAAAAAAAAAAAAAAAAGAATTATTCAACCAGGAACTCAGCTGTGGGAGAGGCTGGCTGCCCCCAGGGGTACCAGAAGGCTGGGTTTGACTGACTCAGGTCCCACGGGACTGCGGGGGTGCGTGACTTGTGCATCTGCCCCTCCCTGGCTTATGTCACCCCCTCCTCCGGGGCTGACACAGTCATAAGTCACCACAACGGGGCTGTGAGTTTTAGACACCACAACCGAGGTGCTGGACTGGAGCGCACTGGACTGACCTCATCCGTGAAGTGGATACGTTGAAAACGCGATGCGTTCTGCTCCACACTTTCGTGACCCCACACTGTCCCGGCCAAAAACCGCCTTACCTTCCATGGCTCTGCTCAGAATCCACCTTGAGGGAGCCTGAAGCATCCTGGCAGACTGTGGGGGTCCGTGGGAGAGGGATGGGCGCCCCTAGTCCCGTGTTCTAGTCTCTTCCCTCACCCTCCGCCCCATCTTCGCAGGGCCCCTCACCCCAGGTTCTGAATGGCAGCCCCGAGGCCCGCCTCCTCTGGTCTCAGCCACTTGCGGTTCGGTTTTTACGGTGACCACTTCCCCTTTCTCTTGGCGGGGTTTCTGTCCCGCTTCCTTCTCGGAAGCCCGCTTCCCACCTCCTCCGTCGGGCCGCCCTCGCCTCCTCAGGGCCTCTCCCGGGGTGGGGGAGGTTTCTGCGGCACCCCTCCTGGGCCCACGCAGGACAGAACGGCCTGGCTCCCCGGCTCCTGGGCTTCCTGCCGTGCGTGTCCCTGGACGCCCTGCGTGCCCCCTCCCACTGCCTCAAGGCTCCCGCTCAGTTTCCCCGGGCGCCTACCCCGCTGCCCGCCTCGGGGCTTCCCTAAGACCCGCCTTGGGCCCATTTTTCTTCTCCCTCTCCACTGGACCTCACCCAGCCCCTCTGCTGAGAGCTCCAACCCCCAGACTCTTCCATGTAGACGCAGACCCCCTACATCCACCTGCCTCCTGCACACCGCCTCCTGGACCCCTCTCAGGGCCCGGCTACCCACTATCGTAGCCGCCATGATAACACCCCGAAAGAAGCCCTCACTTGCTGTTGGAAGCATTCCACACCACGCGTCTTTCCGTTATCACCCCCATTCTGCAGATGCTGAAACTAAGGCTCAGAGAAGTTGGAATAGTCCACACCCCTAAACGCTGCCCTCTGCCTTTTTCAAAACCAAGGTTGGGGGTTGGTGTTTAGCACAGCAGGTTAAACCCTCACTTGTGGGGCTGGCATCCCACGTCGGAGCATCGGTGCCAGTCCTGGCTATTCCACTTCCCATTCGGCTTCCTTGCTAATGCACCTGGGAAGGCACTGGAAGATGGTCCAAATGCTTGGACTCCGGCCATACATATGGCAAACCCAGATGGAATATCCTGGCTCCTGGTTTCAACCTGGCCCAATCCTAGGTGCTGTGGGCATTTGGGGAGTAGACCAGTGGGTAGAAGAGCTCTTTCTTGTTCTGACTTTTGCATCAATCAATCAATTTTTTTTTTTGACACGCAAAGTGGACAGTGAGAGAGAGAGAGAGAGAGACAGAGAGAAAGGTCTTCCTTTGCCGTTGGTTCACCCTCCAATGGCCGCCGCGGCCCGCACGCTGCGGCTGGCGCACCGTGCTGATCCAATGGCAGGAGCCAGGTACTTATCCTGGTCTCCCATGGGGTGCAGGGCCCAAGCACTTGGGCCATCCTCCACTGCACTCCCTGGCCACAGCAGAGAGCTGGCCTGGAATAGGGGCAACCGGGACAGAATCCGGCACCCCGACCAGGACTAGAACCCGGAGTGCCAGCGCCGCAAGGTGGAGGATTAGCCTAGTGAGCCACGGTGCCGGCCAATCAATCAATTTTTTTAAGGTTTATTTATTTGAAAGGCAGAGTTACAGAGAGGCAGAGGCAGAGAGAGAGAGAGAGAGAGAGAGAAGGAGAGAGATATGTTCCATCTGCTGGTTCATCCCCCCAAATGGCCACGACAGCTGGACCTGCACTGATCCAAAGCCAGAAGCCAGGAGCTTCTTCCGGGTCTCCCACATGGGTGCAGGGGCCCAAGGACCTGGACCATCTTCTACTGCTTTCCCAGGCCATAGCAGAGAACTGGACTGGAAGTGGAGCAGCTGGGACTCGAACTGGCACCCATATGGGATGCTGACACTGCAGGTGGTGGCATTACTCACTATGCCACAGCGCTGGCCCCTCATAGGGGTGGGTGAGTGAGCATTTGATGTAACAGTTCAGCCTGTGTCTTATATCTGAGTGCCTGGTTAGAGTGTGGCTTCACTCCTGATTCCAGCTTCCTGCCAACAGGTACCGCTGGGAGGCAGCAGGTGATAGCTCAAGTAGTTGGGTCCCTGCCACCTGCATGGGAGACTCAGACTGAGCTCCTGGCTCCTAGCTCCTGTCTTGGTCCAACCCTGGCTATTGCAGGCATTTGTGGAATGACCAGTGGATGGGAGATCTCATCTGTCTGCCTCTAGATGGCTCAAAGAAATAAAATAAAATTAATCACATTTTTTGAAACAGAACAAAAAGAAAACTCAAAGTCTTCCACGCTTAAGTCCCTTCCCTCCCCTCCAGGGCTCTCTGGCTCAGGGACCACTGCCATCCGCTTTCAGGGACAGTCAGCAGGCTGCTAGCCTCTCCCTCCTGATACCTGTGTCTGCAGCCACTTGGCTCCCAGCTTCCCACAAGGACGCTATGCAGCTCTCAGTTGTCACCCATTCCTTGAATCAGAACTACCACGGCTTAGGGGGGTTTCCGCCGCCTGCTTCCCCTTCCCCTCCCCGCCACAGCCCTGACCTCATCCCTCCCCCCCACCCCTCCCACCTCCCGTCATGGCCCATCACCCACTCCACAAGCAGACCCTCGGGTCTCATGGCACAGCCACAGCTGTTTCCCCTTCTGAAACACAGTGCCCAGGAGTCCCCTGTCTTTGGTTACCAACAAGGATCAGGCCAGGGCCACCTCCCTCGGGAAGCCTCCCCAGAACACACCAGCACCAACAGAAGGCACCTGTGGTCTCCAGACTTCCCCTCTTCTGGCCACTCTCTGCTGTTCACCCTTGCCTTGCCTCCTCCACTGGCCCCACAGCTGCAATCTGATGGTTGCCTGCTCCTCGCCCAGCAGAAGGCTTGACATGCTGAGCCGCACATCAGGCGTGGTAGAGAACGGAACAAGTGACCCAACTGCTTGAGTGAATGAATGAATTCACACTCTGTGCTCCTCCTCAAACCAGATGCCTAATTCTAGGGCACAGGTCAGGAGTCGGGGTGCCCACCAGGGTTGCCATGGGGATCCTGAGAGAGGCTGGTATCTGCCTGCTTCTCCTCCCCATGCTGAGTGGGACTTCAAGGTCAAGGGGAACCTTTTGCCACTACAAGAAGGGCATTGGGAAGGAGTTCAAGGCCAGGTAGGGGACTGGCATCCACTCAAGCAAGGGCAAGGCCAGGGAAGCACTGGGCAGAGACCGTGGACTGGGATTGTGCAGGCTTCCCTGGCCCCCTCTTCTGCCCATTTCAGTCGCAGTCCCCGCCCTCCTCCTCTGAGTCACCCTGCCCACTTCCCTCCTTGCCTTGGACCACCTGACCACTCTCCACTGCTCTCTTGCTTCTTCCGTACCTTGGTCCAGTTGCTGCTCTTGCTGTCCAGGAGACAGGAGCGTCACCTTGGACCTTCCAGTCATGAGTGGGGCCAGGACAGCCTTGCTCCTGTCTGTAGGTGAGCCTAGGTCCCTGGGGAAGGGACACTGTGTGAGTGTGTGTGTGTGTGTGTGTGTGTGGTGGGGAGGTGAGGGATCCAGGACCAAGTGAACCAGGGTTTCATCCGAGGGGTTCTGGCTGCGGGTGATCAGAGTCCTAATGGGGAGTGAGTCTCAGCCGCTAGGGGAGCTGGGATCTGGAGTTTGTGGAGGGAGGGGATATTGAAGAATCCTTTTGGTGGGGGGGGTGCAGAATTCAGGGGATGCTGGAGGAGATGTTGGTGGCCTAGACCATCTGCAGATTTCTAAAGCAAGCAGAGTGAGTCCCAGGGCCCCCCCCCCCATGTTTTCCTCGACTAACCCCCAGAGGAGCCCCAGGGGCAGGGGTGGGGCAGTGCTCTTTGCGAATTTGGGTGCCGCTTTGTGGAAATGCAGAATTGAAACTTTCCGGGGTGATGGGTGAAGGGCCATCCCTGTGCCATGTGAAAGAGGGGCGGGCAGAGGAGGCCTGGGAGATGGATGGAGCAGAGGTAGGGGGAATGGGGCCAGAGAGGAGAAGATGCCCAAGCTCTCTTCCCGCCCTCCTCCTAGCCCTGGCTTCTGCTTTCTGCTTCAACTTGGACACAGAGAAGCTGACCACCTTTCGCATGCCCAGCACTGGCTTTGGACACAGCGTGGCCCAGTACGCCAGCTCCTGGTGAGGCTCCGGTGATGATCAATCAGTGGTTCTCATCAGCTCCTCTCTCCACACGTGGCCCTGGCCCTTCCCACCACCTGCCTCCTCTGTTGCTATTTACTGTCAGATGTTTAAGTTTCCCCAGGGTTTTGAGTAGTTACATGGAGAGAGGGCCCTGTTTTGACACAGCCAGCACTTACGGAGCACATACTGAGTACCAGGTACAGTGCCAAGTGTTATGAGGTAGGAACCATTGAACAGTCATTCAACAAACATTAAGTATCTATTACATGTCTTGGGGCTCTGCATACATCAGAGAACGAAACAGACACAAAATCCTTCCAATGGGAATTTAAATTGGCATGGAATTCCATTTCACAGATGTGGAAACTGAGGCTGAGAGGTAAAGCAAACTCACTGGAGCAGTGGTTGGGCTCTTGCCGTGCTCACTGTGACTGCAATGTTCTCTTGTCCCCTCCCCCTCCAGGGTGGTGGTCGGAGCCCCCCAGGAGATAACAGCTCCCAACCAAACAGGCGGCCTCTACCAGTGTGACTACGGATCAGGCTTATGCGTGCCCATCCAGCTGCAGGGTGAGCCCTGCACCTGCCCTGGCCCAGGGCTGGGACCCACCTGTGCGCACACCTGGACTTACCTGGCATTCCTGAGTTCTGGGGGTGCAGGGGTCTGTTCCCCAGCCTCTGTTCTGTCTGCAGAGTCCCCCAGATACCCTAAGGAAGCCCCCCCTTCCCATGACCCCAGGTGTCTCTTGGCCTGTCAGACCTCTGTGTCTCCCTGGGGACCCCTGCCCAGCCTTTCATCCCCTTGAGGGTGACCATGTGCTTACCTGTCCCCCCAGTCCCCCCCGAGGCTGTGAACATGTCCCTGGGCCTGTCTTTGGCAGCCTCCACCAGCCCCTCCCAGCTGCTGGTGAGTTGTCCTGGTTCACGGAAGGGTCTGATGTGGCGGAGTGGTGGAGCTTCTAGGGCTGGGAGCCTTGTGGAGGGTGGGGGCGCTGGTTTGGGAGGGAGCAGGGGCAGCCCCTCGATAGAGCTCCCTCTGTCCCCAGGCCTGTGGCCCTACCGTGCAGCATGCATGCAGGGAGAACATGCACTTGACCGGGTTCT